CACCATAGAGCTTGTTGCAATTGGATTAGCTTTGAAACTTGTTACTCCCTGTCCTAACACCCGTCCACAATTCATCTTCCCGTATATGTGGTCCCTCGCAATGGGAAAGTTTTGGATTTTGATCCAATAGAAAACTTGATTGAGAAAGCACTGAGAAATGGAGGAAGACAAAGGGGGCCTGATCTAGGAGCCAACAACAAAGCAACACGTAGGCGTTATTAGTATAATATTTTATCACATATAATCGCATTAAGTATCAATTTTTCATAATTGATTTTTTTGTAATAACCATGGAATATATATAATTGTAGGGACAAATATTTTAAAATAGATATAGCAGTATTACTCTATATAATTAACAATTAAGGATCCATTCCCAGTAACATAGAATTATACCACCAATCAAACTATGGGCACCATGCTTCATACAAAAAGGTCTAGGATTTATAAGTTACGTGACTTGTATGGTATTGATCGTCAGTTTAATTTGTTGATTTATAGATGTACAGATTATATATAGATAATTGGTAAACATTTATATATGGATATATAGATTTACAATTAATTTCCTTCTCATTTATATTTCATAAAGTTATTAACTTCGTAATACAACATGTGTTTTATTCAACAATTAATTAGCTGCCTTATATTAAATTGGAGATAAAATCAAAATTCTATGACACACACACACACACATATATAGAAAATTACTATCACAAGCAATAAAACTTTTAGAATATGCATCAAAATATGAATTTATGAATTATCAACCATGCTTTAAATAAGTTTAAAAAAGTTTAGTATAATACTCCTTCAGTCATTAATGTAAGACCTATTTAACTAATTTGATTAGATTAGGAAAGTTAGATAAGTTAGTTAATTATAAAAAATATGACATCTTTTCTTAAAACATCATAATCATCTTCCTTAATATCCTCACCCTCTCCTACTTGATTATAGTTGAGGGAGTATCAAAGGAGTAATTTAAAAAAATTGATAAATATGATAAATAGATCTTACATTTAAGACTAAAATCAATTCAACAATAAGACGCTACATTAAGGATTGAAGGAGTAGTATCGCCACTCAATTTTAATGTGAAGCACAAGGGGAAAAAAAAGTATAGAAGACATGTTGCTTGTGAGGTATTAGAATTTATTAATTCGATCGATCGAATCATGCATGATGCCAAACTTTTGGTGTTTAGGGCTAATATTACATATATTATGTCGCAGTAACTGGAGAAACTTTCTGAAAGCCCGCTTCCTCGTCTATATAGATTGATCCAACAGTGTGTGTGTGTGTGTGTGTGTGTGTGTGTAATGGTATATAATGGTAGCTTCCCTGTATACCATCATCACCAAAATCAAGTTCAATCAGGCTCAGCTTCTCTCAGCAAATCAGAAAGTCATGGAATCCCAAAACCAAGAGCATGATTCGGTATCAAGACTCCTTCGTGCTCAAACCCACGTGTGAAACCACATCTTCAGCTTCATAAACTCAATGTACCTCAAATATGCGATAGATTTGAACATTCCTGACATCATCCACAACCATGGCAAACATATACCTCTTTCCCTTCTCATCTCTTCTCTTCACATCCACCCTTCTAAATCTTAAAATATCTATCGCTTAATGCGAATCTTCACCTATTCTTGCTTCTTCTCTCTTCAAAAGCTTCCTGGCGAAATTGAAGAAGGCTATGTCCTTGTGGATGCATCGACCATTCTAATAAAGGACAGCCCTTTAAGTGTCACCCCCTTTTTGCTCGCCAATTTAGATCTCATCTTAACAAAACGTTGGTATCAAATGGCTAACTGGTTCTAAAACGACGATTTGACAACGCCGTTTGACATGACACACGGAAAGACATTTTGGGAGTATGCTGAGGTTGAGCCTAAGCTTAATCGCTTCTTCAATGATGCTATGGCTAATGATGCGAGGTTGGTGACCAGTGTGGTCACTGATAAGTGTAAGGATATGTTTAAGGGCTTAGAGTCACTGGTGGATGTTGAGGGTGGTACTAGGACTGTGGCTAAGGCTATTGCTAAAGCATCTTTACAAATACAAGGATAATTCTAAGGGAGATATGGATGATGAATCAGCTGAAACACAATTGTTCTTTGATATGTTGATGATGGTTTTGGTGACTGGAAAAGAGGGGGAATGAGAAAAGAGTGGGCCAAGTTGATATTCTTTGCTGGTTTTAGTGACCATAAGATTACTCCCGTTTTGGGCTTAAGATCTCACGTTGAGGCTTTCCCATGATGAAATACTCAAGACTTGTTATATACGGTGGAAAAGAGAAAGTCATACTGATCATATCTCTTTAATATATTGATGTTCGTGAGAATTAATTTGGCATTGAGAGTAGTATATGTAATTCTCGTTTTTCCACCGTGTTGTCATGCAACAACAATGATATTATTATGGGTGGATTCAGTTGATCAATCTCACCATAGAATATTAATCAATTATCGAAATATTTACAACTTTATTTGGTTGGTTTTCCGTTTCAGTATTGAGCTAAAAAAGGGGTTTTAATTAGTAGCTCATATCTGGTATAATTAACTAGTATTGGTTTCTACTTTTCGGTGTATACAAACGTATCTGGTATTAGTTTCGCTTTTTTATGGAAATGAGCTTTTTTTGTTTGTAGAACTCAAATAAGGTTGTTTCCCTTCGTGATCAAACAAAATTCTTTTAAAAAGTATATTCACATAAGTTAAAACAAAATTCTTTTTACATACTTATTTCGTATTATTGTGAACTTTCTGAATAAGAATGATTATTATTGATGATCAGGCCCACAGGACCGTGAGTTCATAACAAACAGCTGAGGCTTGACCCTTATTTATACACCCCATTGGGCCAGCACCTAATGACCTGACCTACTGTGCAAGAAAACAAATAAATAAAATATAGATATTAACAAGTATTCCCTTTAACATGTATGTTGTAAAATCATTTCTAAAATTATAGTTTTATTTTCCTCCAAACACCCCAAATAGGCCCGTGGTCTCTTGAGAATGTGAGGATGATTATGCGATCAATGGGTTAAACGTTGCTATGTACTATTATGTAAACTGAGTAATATCCCCATTAGGATTTTTTTTGAATGAAAAAGTTTAGGTGAGTTGGGTTTGGAAGCTTATCAAGATCAAGACATATCTCCAATCATAGAACGCTTATAGAGATAGTTACAGATCGCCACTAATGAGGTCTTTATATTAGTAGCGAGATTCAAACTCATGATCTTGTAGGTTATAAGCCGACTCGTTAGAGTTGGTCTAGTAGGATTTAATGTCTTATTTTGATTTCTTAATTTTTTTTTTAAGGTTGTCGGAGATTAGCTTAAACGTGATTCATGCAGGAGAAGTATATTTAATAATATGTCAACGGTGCTGTTTATGAATAATATTCTGATATACATTACATGGCGTGTTTAATTTGCAATGTAGCAGCAATACGTAATAAAATTTTTTTTACCGACAGTGCTTCTTTATTGTTTATTTTAAGTTTAATTGCTGAACGACTTTCTCGTTGCTAATTAAGTTTACAATTAAAAAGGACGATGGATGGCGGCTAAGCCGGCCTTGTTTGGGTAGTAGATGATAAAAATGCGGACACATATATACATATTTTATATAACTCATGTTTGTCAGTTTTGGGAGGTTTTATAAATTATGTAATTATACAACCGAAACCTTCCTAACTTGTATAAGAACTATTATACAGATTTTACTAACAAAACAATTTTTCTTTATTGTAAAAAATGAGCAATATAATGAATCATTAACACGCATGACATGCTTATTAAATATTAAACTAATTATCTAAATTTTAATATTATAGTTTTTCCCTCATGGTGACTCTAATTTTAGTTTTAGATTTTGTCATAATCTTAATTTAAGAAAAAACTTAAAAGTTATAATTTCAACCAAGGTCAATAATCATAGACTTTTCCCCTCTAAATCACCTTTTTTTTTTCTTGATTTCGTCTTTTTCGCTGGGTCCCACACAGCTGCACCTTTTTGCTTCTCACTCTAGTTTTCTATCCGATGATGACCTCGCGTTCTTCTTTTTCTATGGTATCTATCTGACTACTCATCGCGTGTAATAATATCAATATAATGAGCCAAGGAAAAAATATATATTTGTGTAAATTATTTATATCTTACACAGAAGTCAGAGTTATGTTTCGTGACTTTGAATATGTAGATTCTCTTAGAATTTAGTTCACATGTAGACGTATAGATTTATATATAGACAGTTGGCAAACAAAGTTATACAAGGATATATAGATTAGCAATTAATGTCATTCTCATTTATATTTCATCAACAAAGTTAGTGACTTGGATATACACCATATGTTTTATTTAAAAATAATAATTGTCTTATATTGGAGATAAAATCACGGAATTATTATCTTAATAGTATCTATGTGAATCGCCGGTCAATTTTAATGTGAAGCACATGAAAAAAAACTGGAAGATATGCGGTATTAGGATTTACGACAACATATCATTCATGACGCCAAAGTTCTTGGTGGCTAGAACTCCTCTGATCCTTACTATAGGACCTAATTGTTAAGTTAATTTTAATCCTAAATATAAGACCTATTTATCATATTTATCAATTTTTTTAAATTACTCCTATGGATATTCCCTCAACCATAATCAAGTAAGTAAGGGAGAAAGGATGTTAAGAAAAATGATTATGGTATTTTAGAAAAATCATGTTATATTTCTTATAATTAACTAACTCAGCTAACTTTCTTAATCTAATCAAATTAGTTAAATAGATTTTATATTAAGGATTGGAGGAGTATGTCGCAAATAACTTCAGAAACTTTGTGACTGTCCCCTTCATCACGCGCGTGCGCGCACATATATATATATATATATATATATATATATATAATGGTAGTTTCAATGTATGCCACCACCATCAAAATCCAGGTCAATCTAGCTTAGCATCCCTCATCGAAACAGAAATCCATGGAATCCCAAAACCAAGAGCAATATTCAGCATCAAGGCTCCTTCATACTCAAACCCACATATGGAACCACATCTTCAGCTTCATTAACTCAATGTCCCTCAAATCTGCAATAGATTTGAACATTCCTGACATCATTCATAAGCATGGCAAGCCCATGCCTCTCTCCCTTCTCATCTCTTCTCTTCAAATCCACCCTTCTAAGTCTCAAAATGTTTATCGCTTAATGCTAATCCTCACACATACTGGCTTCTTCTCTCTTCAAAAACTTCCCGATGAAGCCGCAGAAGAAGGCTATGACCTTACCGATGCATCGAACCTTCTTTTGAAGGACAATCCCTCAAGTGTCACCCCTTTCTTGCTTTACCAGCTGGATCCCATCCTAACCAAGCCTCGGTACAAAGTAGCTAACTGGTTCCAAAATGACGATCCAACGCCGTTTCACACGGCACATGGAAAGACATAATACTTGTATATTTATTTGCATTAAAAGAATAAATTGCAAAATTAGACAGCCAATTTTAAGATAAGTTGGCTCTGGAAGCAAAGTATAAACTCGTTGTAAGCATATGGATGTTACAGGCCATGCTTGTGAATGATGTCACAAAACAAGAATTTTGAGTTGATCTAACAATTTAAATCAATCATTTTTATAAAATTATGATTATTTGTGATATATTCTCAAACTCTTAGTTTGATTTATTATTTGTGATATTTTCTATATTTATTGAAGTAATGTGAAATTATGATTTTACTTCCGTTGTTAAGGGACCTAAGTTGATTATGATTTATGAGAAATAAATGAGAAGGAAATCAATTATAGTCTATTTATCCATATGTAAATCTATACATACATCTGTATAAAATAAAATAGATAAAAAAATTACACTATCTCATACGCTAAGATTAAATTAATTTTACACCCGGTAGAAACTAGAAAAGGATTTGGATTCCTCTAGAGAGAGCTTCGTTTTCATCATAGAGCCTCACCCTTTTCTTTCATTGATTTAATGTATTGGTATATGTTATTTTAGCTTCATCGGTCATTAAGGTTAGCTGTCCCTTTCGCACTTTAAAATGTGAATAATCTCTTCACAGCCGGAGATATTTAGTTCGCCTCAAACGTTGGGATTTGAAAGAGGAGAGAGCATTTGAAAGTTGAAGACGCAGTCTCAGTCGCACCCAACAATTGGAGCTCTGTGTTTTGAATGGCTTGGACCAGGAAGTGAGAATGGGCCTGATGATGTGGTCCACTGTGAGCCTTTAGATCATCTGAACGGATAGGATGTCAAGATACCAAGAGACGCTGAGAAAAACGCTACTGAGAGGATCTGGATTCCAACCATTGAGGTGAACTAAATATCTCCGACTGTGCCGACTATGCAGAGATGCTTCACAAATTTTTCACCACAAAAAAAAAAAGGTGCTTCACAATTTAAGATCTAAAAGTGAACACTAATATAAATGATAAATAAAGCCAAAAGGGTAAAGATCTCTAACGAAAATGGAGCTCTCTCTGGATGTGTGTGGATATATATACACGCACACGAAGAGAAGCTCCTTTATTTTATTTTATTTTATTTTTTTTAAAAACATCAAAGAAGCTCTTTCGGTTGACCGATCTCTTGTCTTGGTGTCTCTATTAGGAAGCATGGTGATTTTAATTTTATCCGTTGAGATCGCTGGCAGGTCTCCATTTCCAGGAGACGGTGGCGAAGGCAAAGTGTCAACGACAAAGACTTGATCCACGGCCGAGTTTAGAACAAGACTTCGCTTTCAGTGGCGCTGGTAATGCCGCTACAGAGAAGATTAGAGAACGCCATATGTTGCGTATCATATCGTTTTGAGGGGAATATATACGTATAGGAATAGTTTGAGGAAAAATAAATAAGTATATGAGATAAAATGAATGAAGTCTTGCATATCTCCAAGACTAAAACAAACCTCCAATTTAGGTTTTAGAATAAATATATTCTCGAACTTTAACTAATAACGATATATGTTACTTACTGAATTCTTTTTCAAATCTTATTTTGTTGTGTATATCACGCCCTCTTTCTCATCAAATGTGATTTGGATATAAAATTGAAGATTTCTTATTGAAGAAATGGATTGTATACACTGATACTTTGGGTCGACTATTGTTAATTGTTTCGACATTTGGGGCATATGTAACAACGATCTTGCCTGATCGTTACACTATTGCTCACTAATTCTTATCCAATTAAGTATGATTTGAAAATAAATTTCAAATTTCTTAAATTAATTGATCAGTCATTGATCACTTATTTAGTTATTATCTGACATATAATGGGGAATATCATCATCTAAAGCAAGAGCTTCAATACAACGATGCAGTCCCCAATTTTCTTTCAGCAATTGCGCTATTCCTGCACTTGTTCCGTTGCTTTCCTGTAATAGAATTATAAACATAAACAAATTAAATATACAAAAGATGAATATATGAATTATCAAATATGATTTAGACAAGTTCAAAAAAGGTTAATATAATATTATTATCCATGTGTATCGCCAGTAGGTTTTGATGTGACGCGCATGAAAAAAAAAACAAAGAAAGAAAGAAAGAAAGAAAGATATATCTTGGTCGTGCGGTATTAGAATTTACTACTACGACATCATCCATGACGCCAAGCTTTTGGTGGTTAGGGCTGATATTATATATATTATGTCACAGTAACTTGAGAAAAACTTTATGACCGTCCACTTCCTCTCCTATAGATTGATCCCAGTATATATATTATGGTAGCTTCCATATGTATACCATCACCACCCAATTAATCCACTTCAGTCTCTCTAGCTCAGCTTTTCTCCCAGCAGAAAATCAGAAATTAAAGTCATGGAATCCCAGAACCAAGAGCATGATTCAGCATCAAGACTCCTTCATGCTCAGACCCACATATGGAACCACATCTTCAGCTTCATAAACTCAATGTCCCTCAAATCTGCAATAGATTTGAACATTCCAGACATCATTCACAAGCATGCCAAACCCATGCCTCTTTCCCTCCTCATCTCTTCCCTTCAAATGCATCCTTCTAAATCTCACAACATCCATCGCTTAATGCGACTCCTCACCTATTCTGGCTTCCTCTCTCTCCAAAAATTTTCTGATGAAATTGAAGAAGGCTATATCCTTACGGATGCATCGACCCTTCTATTAAAAGACAACCCTTTAAAGTGTCACCCCTTTCTTGCTTGCGATGTTGGATCCTATCCTAACAAAACCTTGGTATCAAAGGGCTAACTGGTTCCAAAATGATGTTCCAGCGCCCTTTGACACAACACATGGAAAGACATTTTGGGTGCCGGGGTTGAGCCTAAGCTTAATCAATTTTTCAATGATGGCATGGCTAGTGATGCCCGGTTGGTGAGCAGTGTGGTCATTGATAAGTTTAAGGATGTGTTTAAGGGATTAGAGTCATTAGTGGATGTCAGGGGTGGTAATGGGACGATGGCTAAGGTTGTTGCTAAAGCATTTTCAGAACTACAATGTACTGTGTTTGATCCCCCCACACATTGTAGACGGACTCCAAGATAGTGGGAATCTCAAGTTTGTTGGGGGACACATGTTCAAAAGCATTCCTTCTTGCGATGCCATACTTTTGAAGGTGATGATTTTATTATTATCTTTATATATATTACACAATGCATGTACATTTACAACATGTTTACTTTGGAAGAATAATTAACTAGCTAGTTATTATTTGATTATTTGTGTCTAATAATTAATTGTTTTTTTTTAATGGAAAACAGTGGATTCTACATGATTGGAACGATGAAGAATGTGTGAAGATACTGAAGAAGAGCAAGGAGGCAGTTGCAAGAAAAGGAAAGAAGGAAAGGTGATTATAATAGATATGATCATAGGGGATGGTAAAGGAGATATGGATGACGAATCTACGCGAACACAATTGTTCTTTGATATGTTGATGATGGTTTTGGTGACTGGAAAAGAAAGGAATGAAAAAGAGTGGGCCAAGTTGATATTCTCTGCTGGTTTTAGTGACTACAAGATTACCCCAGTTTTAAGCTTAAGATCTCTCATTCAGGCTTTTCCTTGATAAAGTAATCAAGCAAGTTATAATGGAAAAGGGCAAGTCATATATACTAATAAAATAGATCTTTATCATTGATGTTCGTATGAATTTGGTATTGAGAGTTGTAACATGTTTTTTATCTACAGAACTGTTATGATGCAACAATAATAGATAACATCATGGTGGATTAAGTTGATCAGTATCTCTCATTGTGGATTGTTAATTAATTATCGAAATTTTTACAAATTTAATTGGTTAATTTTCTGTTTCAGCACATTTGACCTAGTTACTGTCAAATACGTAATCTAATTAAGACTTTGCCCCTGCCAAGACATACTCCTCTGGTCCTATTTATGAAGGATAGAAAAAAGGTTTTTATTGATACGATTTATAACTCACTTTATTTAATTTTTAACATGAATATATTATTTTATCCTTTATTTATTATAATGTAAATAATTATTTTAAAAAAAATGTATATATTAAATAGGCCAGGGAAAAAGTTAATACTTGTGCTAAACATATTGAAAATATCATATAAATAAGACCAGAGAACAGACGAGTAATTGTTAAACTTAGGATAAAGTTACCTAATGAGTCCTTGCAAGTTATGATCCATTTGAGAAGAGGGAAATTTCACGCCTTTGGTGCTTTCCTTTTGACAATGTTACATTACATTTTACGATACGATGCAAATATACTTTGTAGATAAAAAAGCTTTTTTTAACTGCTATATTTCATTTAAGCAAATCAGGCTATATTAAGAAAAAAATATAGTTCGAAATTCCACATGCCCCACCTTAAGGATCACTACTACAAATTTAATTGGTTAATTTTCTGTTTCAGTATTTCACCTAATTAACGTCAAATATGTTAAGACTTTGCCCTGCCGAGACATATTTCTCTGGTCTTATTTATAAGTTACCTTATTTAATTTTTTGCATGAATATATACTATTTTATATTCTTTATTTATTATAGTATTTCTAAAAGGTATATATATTAAATATGAATAAAATACAAATGTTATTATATTATAAGAGAGGGTTTAATGTATATGCAAAACATGTTGAAAATGCTTTGTGGATAGGAGCAGAAATCAATGGAGTAATTACTAAACTTGGGATGAAGTTATCGAAACCTGTTTCAGTACTTATCATGTTGATGAGCACTTTAAACTTATCAAATCTAAACCATTTATATTTGATTTGAACAATTCATATTTAAAATTTTTAATTAATTATTTTTAAATAGAAAAGACTATTTTTTGAAAAAATGATAGTTAAGAGATTATCTCTATTTTAGATTATATACATATTAAAATAATTATTTTGAACAAATAAAAAAAATCAAATCTAAACCATTAAAATAAAATATAAACAATCAAGATTTGATGAGTTTAGGTGATAAGCACCGAAACTAGTTCATGAAGTTACCTAATGAGTCCTTGCAAGTTATCTTATAATCCATGTGACAAGAGGGAAATTTCATGGCTTTGGTGCTTTCCTCTTGACAGTGTATCACAACGTACGGTATCATTTTTTAAAAATATTATTACATCTTAGGAGGCAAATATACCTTGGAGATAAAAATGTTTTTTAACTCCCATATTTCATTTAAGCAAATCAGGCCATATTAAGAAAAAAATTAAATCCAAATTAATGCGTTTCCCTTTATTTTTCAATATCCTGATCGAACGAAAAAAAAAACTAGTTTTTTCTACCAAACCGGCCTCTCTCGAGACTATGAGGAGGATATGATCAATGGGTGAAGAGTGGCTCCGTACTGTCTGTTATTGTGTAAATTGACTAATAAAAGAGTTATTTTATTTATTTATTTTTGCGGTTGTTGGAACTTAGCGTGAGCGTGAATCACACGAGAATAGTATCACTGTGCCGGTGAATTATATTATGATATACAGCACATGGTGTGTTTTGCATTATATAGAGAGTAATTAATAAACAAATTTGTATTGGCACGAGGCTTTTGTTATTTTAAGTTTAATCACAGAACGATTTTCTCGTTTGATAATTAAATTTTATGATTAGAAAAGGACGATATATGGTGGTTGAGCCGGCCTTGTGACTTGTTATTGAGTAGTAGAGTAAAAGAGATATGGATTTATCTGTAAAACTGGCAACATTTGACAATATATATGATGACAGGCTTATAATGAAATGACTTTAGTTAATTACAAACAAGATCTTAATTTCTTTATCTAAGTTTAAGTTTAATTGTTTAAAAAGATATTGATTTTAATACTCATTCATGTTAATAAATTTATTATTCATTTTTAATTATAATTGAAGTAGTGTAATATATTAATTAATTAGAGTTCATGACATCATGATCATTACTCTTGTTGAGATTGATTTAATTGTACAAGAGATTAACCTAATTCTTTCAAATCATGCCACAATAATTAATTCTTTTAATTAAAATATCTCTATATTTAATTATTTTCCGTACAGTCATTGTATGCAAATTGCAATTTGCAAACGTCCATTAACAGAGTCCGGTTTCTCTCATAAGCATTTTTCTCAATATTCCTCAAAAGCTCCTAATCTCGTTCGTGCAGTTGATCCAACGGGTGAGAAAGAGCCACATCATGCAGCTTCTAAAAGTAAAACTTTCTCGTTGATTTTGTTGTAATTTGAACCGTTGATTCAAACCAAATCCCCAGCCATTAGAGTCATTCCGCTCTCTCCTAACGCACGACCGCGACGGAAATACTAGCCACCATGGTCATTCACTATATGGGACATTGTCGTTGAGGTAGAGAATCACCACGGATTCGCCGACGGACACTTTGCGCTTCTGGGTATATGTTGATTTTTTTCATTGGTGTAGGAATCAGGCCCTGCTTCGCCTCCTCTTGGTTTTTTATTTTTTATTTTTTTATTTTTAATAATGACTATGTCTTCCGCTAAGCAGCTTTCGACCTCTGGTCCCTTGAACACATATCGTCTTTCAACCTTTGAGCTTGCAAATCGATAGCCCCGCTTGCATTTTTTGGTTTTTCTGGTTGGTTCATGGCTTCTCCATTTATCGGGTTCCATAGTTTTTTCTGTTTGATTTCTTTCTTCAGCTCATCCATCAGCAACTTTTGCACTCTGTATACTTGGTGGAGCTCCTCAACCTGCATTTTTATCGAGTCAGAAGGTGTGATGGACCTGTTCCTTTTGGCCTCAAATCAAGTTTTCTGCTTTGAACTCCAAAAGCGTGTTGTGTTTATTGTCTTTTATATTGAACGGGCCGAAGTCAGGTATCACGTTGTACAATACAGAATTGCTATAGTCAGAAATTTCTTCCATCTCAACTGTCATTATAAGCAAAACGGGCACTGAACTTGTTGCCATATTGAACAAAATACAATTTGCTATCATATGGAACAACTTATAATTTGCTGCATAAACCTTGTTGGATTGACTTTATGAACATAAGAACTTGCTGGATTTAATGACTGAACTACTAGATTTTGAATTGTCATTGCAGGTAGTAGCTGCCTTAACCTTCATTTTGACTAAACATTGTTGAAGTTATAGAAAATGGACTTCACCAGCTAGAACTGATTGGACATTGTTGAAGCAGTTATGGAAGATGGACCTTCACCTAATAAGAAGAAGAAAGAAGAGCAATTTAGACGTTAGTAGAGTCATAACACAGGTGTAACGCAATATTTTTAATATAGGAGGGACCGATTAAAGAGTGACAGATGTATTTTGCATCTTGATGTATATACACACTGATTTTAATAAAGTTATTTCATTTTACAGATATGATAAGGAATGAAGGTATGATCCCATCAGAACCACCTGATTTGGAAACTGGTATTCCTTTCAAGTCTCAAGGTGCTTTTACGCATGAATAGAACAAGACCTCCTTACAGTTCTCTGATTGATAAAAGTACAAGTTATTGGTTTTTGCTGGAATTTTTAGAAATAAGTGCATATTCATTGGATAATCCAAATGTGAATATGCATTATCATATAGGTACATGGAATGTCAGCAGGAGATTAGAAAGAAGTTTTGGTAAAACCACATCAAATTGGTAGACTCTACACAACTGAGAAGCACAACGAGGAGCTCAACCAATGAAAATATGCATATAAAAAGAATCAACGGAAATAAACATAACAGAAACCAAATTCAGAACATATGAAAACAATAATCTCCACCGTGCAATCGCTCACCATCCCAATTCAATTCAATCAATCCAATAAATTCAGAACAGAAACTTCCAATAACTGTTTCAACCAGAGCTATGGAGATCCTCTCAAAGTGTCCAAGAGGAGGTGGCCACGGGGCGTCGTCGATCGGGCAGTAGCATCGACAGGAAAAGGTATTTAACTATTCTTGATTCGTCATCTACAGAGATGGGATGATCAGGATCATAAAAACGGACGGTTCAGATGCAATTTAAAAAGCCTCATGATGTGTTCCTTTGTCAGCGGTCAGATAACTTGGACAGATAGGATTTGAAGCTTTTCAGGGATGAGGAGAAAATGAACGCTGAGACGATCTGCTCCGAAATTTAGCTTTATGAGAAGCTGGAGTATACAAAAAGCAATAATAATCTTCCACTTAAAAAGTGGAACTCGGTCAAAAAAATTTTTTAAAAAATGGAACATTGTATTGAAATTTGAAAGAAGCACTATTTTATGTTAATGGTGTGACCGGTGTCGAATCCCTATGTTCTTTCAGTTCGCTCCCAATATAAAAAATTTGTATGGATATCAATCAAGTGAGTCTTTTAATGCTTTGTCAGTTTTACTTTTGAGGCCATTGAATTTGCGCCAAGAGGTTTGTTTTTAGAAAATCACCGTTGCATCTTCTAATATATATTTATATTTATATATACATGAAAAAAAAATCTTTATAATAAGCTAACAACATAAAAATTTTATCCGCATCCAAATTTATCATCACATCCTTACATTACTTTTGGAATGTCATTGCGATTTCTCTTTTGGTTATGCAGGAAAGATACAGCGGCTGAGGGGAGTTTTGGCAACCTTTCAGAAATACTTAAAATATAGAGTGATCAAATCATAATTTCATGTTACTTCAATAAATATAGAAAATATCACAAATAATAAGTCAAACTAAGAGTTTGAGAATATATATCAAAGATCACTTGCGTCGGTCTTGAAAATTGATATTTTGCTTTTAGGTTGCATCAAGAATTCTAAAAAAAACGTGAAACATCAATATCTCTTTCCACATCATTCAATACGTCAAACTTTTTGTACTTATCAATAAAACAACCAAGTGCTCATATTTTATATGATCTCCGCAATAATTTCACGGACTTGATGAATGTCCACTTGCTCTCCTATAGAGTGATCCCAGGATATATATAATGGTAGCTTCGGTGGATGCTATCACCGCCGGAATCCACTGTTCAATCAGGCTCAGCTTCTCTCAGCAAATCAGAAAGCCATGGAATCCCAAAACCAAGACCAATATTCAGCATCAAGACTCCTTCATGCTCAAACCCACATATGGAACCACATCTTCAGCTTCATAAACTCAATGTCCCTCAAATCTGCAATAGATTTGAATATTCCAGATACCATTCACAAGCATGGCAAACCCATGCCTCTTTCTCTTCTCATCTCTTCCCTTCAAATCCATCCTTCCAAAACTCGCAATATCTATCGCTTAATGCGAATCCTCACCCATTCTGGCTTCTTCTCTCTCCAGAAACTTCCTGATGAAGCAGAAGGCTATGTCCTTACGGATGCATCGATCCTTCTTTTGAAGGACAATCCCTTAAGCGTCACCCCTTTCTTGCTCGCCATGTTGGATCCCATCCTAACCAAGCCCTGGTATGAGGTGGCCAATTGGTTCCAGAACGACGATCCGACGCCGTTTGATACGGCACATGGAAAGACGTTTTGGGAGTATGCTGGGGTTGAACCAAAGCTTAATCATTTTTTCAATGATGCTATGGCTAGTGATGCCAGATTGGTGACCAGTGTGGTCATCGAGAAGTGTAAGGGTGTGTTTAAGGGATTAGAGTCATTAGTTGATGTCGGGGGTGGTACTGGGACAGTGGCTAAGGCTATTGCTAAAGCATTTCCAGAAATACAATGTACTGTGTTCGATCTCCCACACGTTGTTGATGGCCTCCAAGATAGTGGGAATCTCAAGTTTGTGGGAGGAGACATGTTCGAGGCCATTCCTCCTTCTGATGGCATACTATTGAAGGTTTGTTATTTCTAAGAATGAATTAACCGGTTAATTGTTATTTGAAACTCGTGTGTCTGATAATAGTTTCTTTTGTAATGGCAAACAGTGGATTCTACATGATTGGAACGACGAGGAATGTGTGAAGATACTGAAGAAGAGCAAGGAGGCAATTAGAAGCAAAGGGAAGGTGATTATAATAGACATGATGATGGAGAATGCTAAGGGAGATATTGATGATGAATCGGTTGAAACACAATTGTTCTTTGATATGCTGATGATGGTTTTGGTGACTGGAAAAGAGAGGAATGAGAAAGAGTGGGCCAAGTTGATCTTCTCTGCTGGTTTTAGTGACTATAAAATTACTCCAGTTTTAGGACTAAGATCTCTCATTCAGGCTTTTCCCTGATGAATCATACATGATGTGGAAGAGAAATTAAAGTTAGCTCTTCAGTTTGATGTTTATGTTAATTTACTACTCATGTTTGTCGTCTACCATCTTGTGTTGCAACAGTAATAATATTGTGGTGGAGTTGAGCAATTTTATTGTGATTAGTATTAATTAATTATCAGAACATTTACAAAGTTAATTGAATAGGTAACAAATTAGGTACTCCTAGTTAATCATGGATAATGAATCTGAAATTTTAAGCAAGTCTATTGAATAGATACAACAACCTGAATCCTTCATAGTATAGTTAATAAGGTTTTTAAAATCATAAAGCTAAAAGCAGAACAAGAGTTTTGTGAATCAATTATTCCTCCAGTCTTAAATATGAGTTAACTAGAGAGACAATTCCAATCTTAAATATAAAACTTGAGTATATTTTATATCTTACATTTATGAATTTTAATTTTTTCAAACTAACATGCTTAACTTATAAATTGACATATAATTTAATATGACGTATAAGTGTATATTTTGAGAAGATTACGTTAAAGGAGTAACTAACAAGTTCTTACAATGATACCACGGCACTGTTCAATGATGCATGATCCAATTTAACGCGGGGAAGAGAAACAACATCTTTACACAAATTTGGGAAGGCGATCCGCGGCGAGGGGAGGGTTGAAATTATGGTATTATAATTATGTTATTATTGAGAAAATGTTCGATCTGAATAACATTTTGAGTTTTCAAAAAATTGGATTAGTAACAATCAAGTTTTTAAAAAAATTGTGAAAATGAATTGTAAATATAATTCAAAAAATTGTAAATAAGAAATTTAATTGTAAAATTAAATCTATATTTAAAATTTAAATATCTTATTTATAATTAAAATTTCTAATTTATGGTTCTATTGCAGTTTTGAAAAATATTGTTAGAAAAACCTAATCTTCCATATTTTTTGGCCAAAAATCTTCCATCATCATACTTTGTGAATTAAAAGGTAATTTGAATACTCCCAATCCCATCCAAAGATGCATATCAAGGCAATATCTGCATGGATATTTGTGCCCGTCTGCCTCACATGACATAGAGAGAGAGAGACGTGACATTACCTCTTTTTTATTGAATAAATCATTAGTTTAGAAGCCATGATAGGTAAAACAGATTTTATTTTGATAAAAGATCTATCTATCTATAATAATAACAATAATTTGTCCGAATTTGCAAACTCGTACACAAGTTCCAAGGACCTGCACTGTCAAGATGGAAAAGGCAGGGGGCGGAGGAGAAGGCCGTCTCTCAAAAGGATGACGTGCAAAAATGTTTTTATCAATAAATAACATAACTTTGCCTAAAAATTAAATAACGCAACACAATTATAAATCTTACTCTTATAGTCCTATTTATAAAATACTTTAAATATGTTTTATACAGATTAAGAAAAATCTTAAACTGTATTAACTCTTTATTAAAATATAATAACTTTCTAACTTTTTCCTATTTAATATATACTCCTTCAAAAAAAAATATTTACACTATAATAAATGAAGGACAATATGGTACATTCACGATGAAAATTTAATGAAGTGACTTATAAATAGGACAAAAAAATCTTCTCTCTCTGCCTTATAAATAGGACCAGAGGAGTAAAAGATTATTTATAAATATTAAATAATTGGATTATAAATTTTAGAAGATAAGGTATAAATTATTTACAAATAATATGCACATATGATGCGAAATTAAGCTGTAAGTTTCAAAAAATGAGTTATAAGTTGATTAAGTTATAACTTAATATAAGAGTTAATTCACTCATTTAAGTAGATTAAGGAATAAGTTAAATAAGGTAGTTGTTTGCTATAAATAGGTGTCATTTTTTCTAAAATACGCTTACTAGTCATATGTATTAGCTATAACTACCATTTGATTAAACTTTTAATATTTGTAATTATTACAAGGACTATCATAAGAAAAATTAATAAATATGAAAAACAAAATGGATCAGAATTTTATATTTAAAACTAAGCTAAATGTCAAAATGATTTTTGTATTAAGTACGAGAGGTATCATGAGGAGGTAAGAAACTGACTTTTTATTCCTTCTACTTTATCTCCTTGCAAGTGGTCACATGTAAAATGAGAAAAAAAATATTATGTACAATTTATGTGGGATTGTAGATAATTTAAAAAATATGAGACCATGAAATGTCATGGTAAACTTGATGACTCCTTTACCGTTATGAGGGAAGTCAATGGCCTCTTCTCTCTTGGGAGCTTAATTTTTGATAAGTTAAAATTAACTTTCCAAAGCTCTTCTGGTGTTAATATCTAGAATTTCATGTCATTTCAGCACTTTTTTTTTTTTTAAGTTTTATGCACTTTTAGATGTATTTGTTCATATTTTGGTATTTATCCTTGTTATTTTTGAGCTTATAAAGTTTGTTACTTTTGCAAGATTATTTTGGTAAAGTTTCAAGCCACTTAGAAGTATTTTAGAAGGAATTAAAGATCAAGGTTTCTTAAGAATTACATTATGGTGATCAAAGAAGAACAAATAGAGGCCAAATCATAGGTAGAACTCCTCATTTGATCTAGAAGTACAAAATTTTGTAGAGGTAAAATGATCTGCGGCGCACTCTAACCTAGCTGTAGTCCAACTGAAGCAGAGGAAAACTTGGCTACAGCCCAAAATTTTTAGGCCGCAATGCAGTCGTTGATGGCAAAACACACAGCAGCAGTAAGTCAGAAAATTCTAGGTTTTAAGACCCCAAACTCGACCTTGGCCACCATTCTTCGGTTCTGGGTGGTTCTTGGGAGTATTTGGCTATGCTAGGACTTGCTTCTTAGAGGAGACTGAACTAGGAGTTGGAACTTTAAAGAGATTTGAGCTTCTTTCCTAGGTTTTTCCTCTCCATCTTGCTTTCTCTACTCTTATTCCATTTTGTGCTTATGTGTATATATATTATGATGGATTTTCTAAGTGTGTGTGGATAACTATTTTGATTGTAGGATTATTTGGAACTGTTGTATGGATTAAGTACTCATTTCCCCTATATATTTGTGATTATATGATTGTGTTGATTTTATCCTATACTTAATGCTTCTTGTTGATTGGCCACCAATGAGATTGTTAGGTTTACTTGATTGATGTTTGAGAGGGCTAGGTTGAGTATAGAACTTAGGTTTAATTATGTGAGAACTTGAAATATGCGAGTTGGATTGATAGTTTTGCTAATGAGATAGAAATATACTCATTAACCTCATATAGTCATATGAGGTTTGCAATTAAAATTGGGGTAAGAAATTAATTGAGCTAAACATCTATTTGGAGACTTGAGAAAGCACTTATAGTTAATTTAGTATCATTGGCTAACATAATCTATAATTAAGAAGCAAATATAATGAGAATTTAATTGAGTGCTTTTGAAATATAAGGGGGATACATAATCTTAACTCCCTTTGAATCATTGGAATGGAAGAATCACTTCTTCTTTTTAATTAATTTTTAATTTTCCAAATAGTTGCTTTCATTCTTGATATTTGTATTAATCAAATTAAGCAAAAATGTGATAATCAATACTTGACCGGGTTTTAAAACCAAATCCTCGTGGGAACGATACTCTACTTATCACTTTATTACTTGTGCCAATCCGTACACTTGTGGTGCAAACATCTAGTGACACTTTATTAGATAAAGATGGTTAAAGAGACTTCATGGATGGAGTATAATCATTTACAAGTTTAAGAAGTCAATGAAGCATTTCTATCAATGTCTTATTTGCTGGCATGAATCTACACTCATAGAATTTCTATGGATAAACAACGCAAAGTCTAGATTAATTTTTATTTATAACTGTTTGTGAGCCTCTTGCTTTGGATCCATCATGCTGGATTTTTTTTTCAAGCTGAGAATTATCCAAATTTGCACATTCTTTGGGTTGGAAAGGTTTCATTTAATATTACAGTTGCTTATCAAAATGAAACTTCACCAATCACATGGCAAGAAATTCTGGCCCTTCTTCGTGAGTTTCATGTTTTCTTTTTAAGAAAATTTCTCCTGATATATTTTCTTGTTTTCTAGGACATAGCTTAAACTCGTTCTCCTTTAGTATTTTGCAAAGTTTAAAGCTTTTTATATATCTCATTTTGTCTTTCATCCAAAAAAATGTGACCACAAAATGTCGGATAACTTTATTATCCACTATGTGATTAAGTATGTTGATCTGACTTATAATTTTTATTTATCATAAAAACATGTTTCACCAAAAAAAAAATCAAGAAAGACAGAAAGAACATTAAGATTAGATTGTTAATATGATCGTGATTTATGTACGTAACTTTTTCTTCAGTCCCCATCTTAGCAGCTTGGCAATAGCAAATACTCCTCCGATCATTAATATAAGACCTATTTAATTAATTTGATTAGATTAAGAGAGTTAGGTAAGTTAGTTAGTTACTCCTCCGGTCCTTATTATAAGACCCAATTTGACTTTTTATTTGGTCCTAATTATAAGACCCAATCCATTTTCTCTCTTATATTTATGTATTTTTTTCTAAGATAATCCTTCTAATAATGATAGTTTTAGCCAATATACTTAATTAGCAAGGATATTTTAGGAATAACAACACTTATTTATTATAAATAACCAACTTAACTTACTTCCTTAATCTCCTCAAATAAGTCAATTGGGTCTTATAATTAGGACCGGAGGAGTATAAAAAATATGATATGTTTTTCCTAAAACACCATAATCATCTTTCTTATTATCCTTCTTCACTTACTTGATTATGGTTGAGGGAATATCTATAGGAGTAATTTAATAAAAATGATAAATATAAGAATATGTCTTATATTTAAGACTAAAACTAACTTAACAATTAGGTCCTATATTAAGAATCGGAGGAGTATAACACTATAAAATTGATGAGGACCTAATTTCTTGCTGTTATTCTGTTTTCTGTTCCTTTCTTTTTTTTCCACTACTTCTTTATAATACAAACTAAATTAAAAGAAAACTCCAATATCTCTGATCCTATTCACCTCTGTTTATTTTCCTTCCCAAGCCACCCACTTTCCACCCTCGAGATTTTGATAATATAATTAAGATGGACCACTGAGCAGCGTAATTAGGATTCGGATGTCGTGAATTTTGAGA